TAAAAAAAAAACTCTAGAAAACCAACAAAATTTTAAAAACCCCATTAAACACCAAATGGAAATTCTGAAAATAAAAAAGAATGATAAAAATTGAAAGCAAAATCTCCATTGCATTAGTAAATTCAATTAATAACTGATTTTTACAAATAGATAAATCATTAGTTAATTTGATTTTTTAAGCAGAATAAGAAAAACCAAATTACCCGTATCAAAAGTGAAAAAAAGAATTCACAACAAATGAAAAAGGTCCAGTTTTCCCCTGTAGGATTATAGTCAATTTTGCTGGATAAGATATTCTTGGTTATAAGCCTGTATCTTTTGCCTTTTGGAATTTTGTATTTCAAGCTCTCTTCTTCTTTAAGTAATAGCTGCCAAATCTTTTGTGTTCTTGACTCAAACCTTGAACTCTTTCTTTCTGGATGCTTGTAATATTATTTTATTTGACCTGAATACACTGGATTTTGGCCTTGACAGTCCTGAGAGTTTTACTTTTGGTGTACTGGCAAGTAGATTCTTTCTATTTTTATTACCCTCAGGTCCCTCCATTTCTCTCCCAGGCCATCTCCCCTGCACTAGCCACTCTCTTCCCCGTGGTGAACCAATTCAATTCTACACTTTCGTTCTGTCTTGCCCCCTTATCGTATCTAGGATTACACCCAGCCAAGCCTCGTCCCTGGATCACCCACTATTTGCCACCTTCACTCCTACACATGCTGCTGAATGAAGGTGGAGAAAATCACACAACCATTCAGACTGGGTCCACTGCAAATTTCTGTTACATAACGTCAAATGAACCCTCACTGCTGCTAGGCAATCCTACTATACCTCTTTCATTGACTCCCTCTCCCATTGTCCACAGAGGCTCTTCCAAACATTCTCATCCCTCCTCAAACTTCCCATGGCTCTCCCTCCCCACTCTCTCTCAGCTGAGAACCTTATCTCATGTTTTACAGGAAAAAAAATAGAGGCCATTTGCCATGATCTCCCTCTTCTCCTGTCTTCCTCATCTCCTGTCATGCATCCACCTTCTGCCCTTCTCTCCTTCTTCAGCCCTGTCTCACATGATGAAGAGGCCTTACTCCTTACCAAGACTAACCCCTTCACCTACACTAACAATCTCATTCCGTCTTGTCTCCTGCAACAAATTGTCCCCTCTGTCATCCCTATTCTGTCATTTATCTTCAACCTCTCCCTGTCAACTGGCTCCATCTCTCTGCCTACAAACATGCCCATGTCTCCTCTGTCCTCAAAAAAACCCTCATTTGATCCTTCCATCCTTGCTAACTATTATATATGTCTTCTGCACTTTGTAGCTAAAATTCTTGTAAAGACTGTCTACGATAGGTACTTCCACTTCCTCTTCCTCTCATTCTCTTCTTAACTCCTTACAATCCTGTTTCCAACCTGCTCTCTCTGAAGTTACCAATTATCTCTTAGTCACCCAATCCAATGACTTCTTCTCAGTCCTCATTCTCCTTGACCTCTCTGTGACCTTTGACACTGTTGATCACTCTCTCCTCCTTGGTCCTCTCTTCTCTCTAGGTTTTCGGGACACCCCTCTCTATCCTGGTTCTCCTCCTCCCTCTCTGACCACTCCTTCTCTGTCTCCTTTGCTGGATCCTCCTCCACATCATGCCCTCAAGCCATAGGTGTCCCTCAGGGCCCTGTCCTGGGCCCTCTTCTCTTCCCCTCCATACTACACTTGGTGATCTCCTCAGCTCCCATGGATTTAATTACCATCTCTATACTAATGGTTCTCAAATCTACCTATCCCGCCCCAACCTTTCTGCTGACCTTCAATCTCACATTTCCCACTACCTTTGAGGCATCTGTTGCAATTGAAATTAAGAGAAACTGAGGCAACTTAGCCCACTCCCCCCTTTCCAGTCTTCTTACACCTTATTCCCCATCAGTACTGTAATTCTGTGGCACTGGCCTCTTGATTGTTCCACAAACAACACCCTCCATCTCTTGGCTCTGGGCATTTTCTCTGACTATCTCCAGTGCCTGGAATGCTCTCCCTTCTCAACTCTATCTACTGAATTTCCTGGCTTCCTTTCATTTCAAACTAAAATCCCATCTTTTACAGGAAACTTTTCCCGACTTCTCTTAATTCTAGTGCCTTCTCTCTGTTAATTATTTCCTATTTATCCTCTATATAGCTTGTTTATATATATTTGTATCTTGTCTCCCCCATTAGATTGTCAATTCCTTGAGGGCAGGAACTCTACCGTGGCAATCTCATCAGCTCCTATGGGCTCCATTACCATCTCTATCTAGGTGGATTACTCCCAGAACTATAAAACCAGCCCTAGCCTCTCTGTGGAGCTTCAATCTGCCATCTCCAACTGCTTGCTGGCACCTCAAACTCAACGTGCCTAAAACTGACCTTGGTTTGGGGCATTTGCTTGCAGGACAGGAGATCTCAAACTAGAAGGGAACCTGGAGGTTTCAGAGGAGGAAACTGAGGCAGTCCAGAGAGGTACAAGTAGCTTCCCCATTGCTGTACAAGGCTCAAACGTAGGTCCTAAGAGTCAGAGGTCCTGGATTCAAGTCCCTCCTCTTCTACCTACTACCTTGGTGATCTTAGAAGAAGTACTTCTCCTCCATAGTCTTCCATTATCACCCCTCGAAACTGATGGGGTTGGACACGATGTCCCTTCCAACTCAAAAACTCTGATCATACCCCAAAGCCAGGGTACTATGTCATACACCTTCCTTACTCTTCTTCACCTCATACCCAATGCAATCGATTGTGAAATCCCATGAGCTCTACCTCTATACCATCTCTTGCATCATTAGTCTTGTCCCCACTCACCCAGCCACCACCCTACGTCATCCTTATCACCTCTCCCCTAGACTGTTGCAATAGTCTGCTAACTTGTCTCCTGGTCTGCAGTTTCCACTTTCTTCACACAGCTACCAAAATAATCTTCTGAAGGCCCAGATCTGAGCACAGCACTCTTCTGCTCAGAAACCTTCAGGTGCTCCCAGTGGCCTCTGGGACTAATAATAATAACTCGTTTGCATGACACTCTAAGGCTTACAAAGTGCTTTGATTCTCACAACAACCTGGGAAGGAAACTGAAGGTCATAGAGATGTGTTGATTTGCCCGAGGTCCCATAGCTAGCGTCTGAGGCAAGCTTCCAACACAGATGCTCACTACCTCCGTGGTTAGAGCAATCCCTCTCATGAAGTACACACTTCACCTTGTCATTCAAGGACCACCACAAGCTACATCTGACTTACCTTTCCAGCCTGATTTCATTTGACTTGCCTTCTGACACTCCCCACACCAATCAAACTGGCACATTAGCTTTCCCCCAAGCTAGACATGCCATCTTCTGCCTCTAGGCACTGCCACTGACCAAAGTGGTTGTCTCCAAGGCTTGCAGTGCCCTCCATCTTCACCTCTGCCTCTCAGCATTTCTCTTCCTTCAACATTCAGCTCAGTTGCTATCTCCTCCATGCAGCCTTCCCTGATTCTTCCCCTCCCCCAACTGAAAGTATCTTCCCCCCTTCAAAGACCCCTACAGCACCTTGTCCAGCTCTCTTCTTTCCTCGCCTCTCTGTACTTATCTCTGTACGTGTGTAATGCCCCCCTTCCTTCCAGGAGAATGTGAACTTGAGGGAAAAGGCACATAGTACCTGGCTTAGAGGAGATGCTCACCCACTTTATCAACAAATAGTTCATAAATTGAAGTCAGCCACCTCATTTTATAAAGGAAAAAAGTGAGGCTCCAAGAAGGGAAATTATTTGGCCAAGGCTATTTGCGTAGGGTCAAAAAAAGGCTAAAGAGATGGCATGGGGGGGGTCAAGGGGAAGGAGAAGATTCAGGGGTCCCTGCCTCAGTACATCTGCTGGTGGCCCTTTGCTGCTGAAGACATAGGGCTCTCCTCCGTCTTTCTTGGCCAAGCAGGAAAAAAAAAGTAGACTCTTTTCCATGGGCCATTTGGGTTCTGGATTAGCCCCTTTTCTTTTCTTTCTTTCTTTCTTTCTTTCTTTTCTTTTCTTTTTTTTTTTTTTTTGCAAGGCAATGGGGGTTAAGTGATTTGCCCAGGGTCACACAGCTAGTAAGTGTCAAGTATCTGGTCTGAGACCAGATTTGAACTCAGGTCCTCCTGACTCCAGGGCCAGTGCTCTATCCACCGTGCCACCTAGATGCCCCTATTAGCCCCTTTTCTCCCAGTTTGGCCAGTGGCCCCAGAGTCACCCAGGTCAGGCCCCAGTCAGCCCCAGAGTCAGTCACTCAGTGCGGAATATGAAGTCAGACAGGATCCTTTGGAATATTTACTTCCTAGCTGTGTGACCCTGGACAAGTCACCACATGTCTCTGCGCCTCAGTTTCCTCCTCTGTAAAATAAAAGGATGGAACTCATGGCTTCTGAGTTCCCTTCTAGCTCTTAATCTCAGATCCTAAGAACATCAGTGGTATTTCCAGGTTATAGTAGACCTGGGAGCAGGAAGAGTAGTAGATCCACTGGCATAGATTTATATGTCTACTGTGCTCAACACAAGAGCTCCAGAGATGAGAAACAACCCAGATCCTGTCCTCAAGGAGCTCACATTCTTGGAGGGTGGGAAATGGAGGGAAACAGTAAGGGAGGGAGAGCAAGAAAGAAGAGAGAGAAGGAGGAGGAGGAGGAGGAGGAGGAGGAGAAGAAGAAGAAGAAGAAGAAGAAGAAGAAGAAGAAGAAGAAGAAGAAGAAGAAGAAGAAGAAGAAGAAGAAAAGAAAGAAAGAAAGAAAAGAAAGAAAGAAAAGGGAGGGGGGAGAGAGAGAAGCAGGGGGGGAGATAGAGAAGGAAAGGGTCGGGGAGAACAGAGATACAATTCAGGGGAAAGGAGAAGCTAGAGGTCTACAATGGTAAGAGAGCTGGCCAGGGTCCTGCCAGAGATGGAAGCAGAGGCGGAGGGAGGCAGGCTTGCCCTCTGTGTAGGAGGCTGGGGTGTGACTGTTCTCAGAGAAAGACTAGAGGAAAGGTTGAAGGTTGGAATTAGCAGGGAGCTAAAAGGGCTCAGGGACAAGACGTGAAGCAAAGCATTCAGGCTTAACTGAGCCTGTAGGGCTCAGGACTTCTGTGCGGGCTCCCTGCCACAGCTAGGGCATCATGGCCTTTGGCTTCACGTTGGATTTCCAGGCTGTCCTCCAGACTCTTTCGGTTCTACATTGGGTCCCTCTCTATGTGGTACTAGGTAAGTGGGCCCGCGGGGAGGGGATGGAAGCCCACCTGCCTCACTGAGATCACTTCTCCACCAAAGGGTCCATGTAGCCAGAAGTCCTGCTGGGGCTCAGCCCTAGAAACCACATTTCAAGTATGTTCAAAGGAGAAGGGACATAATGGATGACCAGGAAGGACAGAGGAGCCCAGGCCAGCCAGATGAGGATACATTGAGGGAACTGGGGATGCTTAGCTGGGGGACTAAGAACATTTAAGGGGAATGTGCCAGCTATTTGGAAGTATCTGGAAGGTTTCCAAGCATGGTTAGATTGGTTCTACTCAATCCTTGGCCAGAAATTCGAAAGGGCAGCTATGGGACCCTGAGCTAAGGGGGTGGCCATGGGAGTAGAGAGAAGGGAGCAGATCCATGCATTGTGGAGCAGTGCAAAGAGTGCTGCATTTGGAGTCAGAAGTTGTCATTCATTCATTTTTCAGTCATGTATGATTCTTCGTGACCCCATTTGGGGTTTTCTTGGCAAAGACACTGGAGTGGTTTGACATTTCCTTCTCTAGCTCATCTTACAGATGAGGAAACTGAGGCAAACAGTGTTAAGTGACTTGCTGAGGGTCACCCAGCTAGGAAGTGTCTGAGGTCGGATTTGAACTCAGGAAGATGAGTCAGCCTTACTCCAGACCCTGGACTCTATCCACTGCAGCACCCCCTAGCTGCCCTGGAGTCAGAAGACCAGAGTCCAGATCCTGGAACTGCTACTTCCTCTCTGTGTGAACTGGTACAAATGACTCCCTCTCCCTGGGACCCTCAACTCCTTCAAGAGCTCCATCTCGCCATCTGTGGTTCTATGATCTAAGATGTTATGTTGGTAGAAACAAAGTATATGACAATTGACTGGATAAGGACTGAGGAGATGGAGGATGTTATAATAGAGAGAGCATTTATCAAGGGAGAAGTGCATGCCAGGCATGGGATTAAGTTCTGAAGATACAAATACAAGCTAACAAGCTGGTCTCTGCCCTCAAGGTATTTCCATTCTAGGGGCAACAGGCAAGGGGTACTGGAAAATGAGGGGGGGGCTGCTGTTGGGGAGGTAAACTGAGCCAGGCCTGAAGTGAGCATGGTTAGGGGCCCTCATGAAATGGTGGTCTGGGCTAGGGAGGTCCCAGCTGGGAGATCAGGCCTCAGGCTGGAGGGGCAGTGGAAAGAGTGCTGGATTTGGCATGGGGTCAATCAGGTCAGCTTAATCACCAATTCCTGATAGCAGGAGCTGTCCAGAATCAGACCTTGTCACTGGAGATCTTGAAGCAAAAGTCAAATGACCCCTTGGGTGATACAGATTGGCCTAGATGACTCTTCAGCCTACAAAGGTGACATGTGGGCACCCTCCCTGTCCTAGGAGAAGGCTGCTATCCAACCCACCCGCAGGCTTCTCTGCTTAGTGCAAAGGTCAGGCAAGATGCAGATTCTTCGGTAGTTTCGAAGAATAATGGATCAAAAATAGATACAAAGACTCTTGGAAACTACAGAGACCAACTACCTCTCTACCCTGCCCCCATTTTACAGTTGGGGAAACTAATGCCCAGAGAGAATGAAGGAGGATTCACAGCACTGTAGTAGCACTTTAGGGCTTACCAAAAGCATCCTTCATCCCAATTCTGGAAGGCAGCGCTCAGAAGAGAACTCACCTTTCCAAAGTGAAGAGGGCCTCAAGGTCTTTGAGCACGATTTGAATGTTTGCACGTGGCCGTCCAAGTGATTTGGAGGACAACTGGCCATGGTCCAATGTTCCCCTGGAAGGTTGCTCCTCCCTAAGCAGACTCTTCTCTCTTCTCCCTGCTCCCAGAAGGATCCACAGAACCAGGGCCCAGGAGAGGAAGAAGAGATGCTTCCCTCCTGCCCGGTCCCCAGGTTGTAGATAATAGAGCCAGACTCCGAGCTGAGAAGCCACCAGTGGCAAGCAAACACTTTGGCCTTCCCTGTGGGGTGGTCACTGGCCTGGACATTGGAACCCTAACAGCCTGTGATCACCCCAGAAGCTTGGTCAGCATTTTGTCAACGGGGCCTGGGTTCATTTGTCTTCCTTCCATGAGACCCAAACCCTGCCATAGAATTAGCAGCTCTGGCACCATCCTATGCCCTGGTCAGGCTGCCACATCTGGAGGCGCCACATTTTAGAAAGGACACTGAGAAGCTGGAGAGTGCCTAGAGGAGAGTGACTAGGATGGTGAAGGGCCTTCAGATCAAGCCATCAAAGACCAGGGGAAGGAACCAGGGAGAAGAGAAGGAACCTGGGAAAGAGAAGGCCCAAGGAGATCACAGCTGTCTCCAGCATTTGATGAAGACTCAGGCACGCCATCTCATTCCACACTGGACCCCCCACCTTGGACTTCTCCATCATGCTTCCCCTCCTTTTCGGAGGTGGAATCAGTTTAAGGGAATTCTTTTTTGTATCTGTATCCGCAACACTTGTCTTTGCACACACACACACACACGCACACACGCACGCACGCACACACACATACACACACGCACACACATGCACACACACGCACGCATGCACACACACATGCACACACGCACACGCACACACACACACGCACGCACACACACGCACACATGCACACACACACACACACACACTCCACAGCAGAATATAAGCTCCTGGAGGGTGGTGCCTTGGCCAGGTCCGTTTCTGTATCCTCAATGATTTACGCACAATAAGACATGACAGAAATGTTTGTTCAATTGAATTGAATTGCTGGGCCCTGAAGGCTGAACTGGGGATAGTAGGTGAAGCTTGCTGTTGCTCTTTACCCAGAGTAAGGAAGTAAATAACTTCCTAAACAATTGGGGCATTGGAAAGTAGACTGCCTCAGAAGGTAGTGAGTTGCCTGTCGCTGGAGGTCTTCATGCAAAGGCTCTGGAGGGTATTCTCACAGAGAGAGGAGTTGAACCGAGGGTGCCTGCCAGCCCTGAGTTGTTCAGTCATTGTCAGTCAGTCAGTCAATAAGCATTGTGTGCCTGGCACTATGCTGCTCATCTGTCCGTTGCCTCCAAAACCCTAACCCTGCTCCTAATAGCTCCTGGTTACATGGTGTTTTACGTTCTATAAAAGTGTAGAGCATATTATATTTCTGTAGAGGAAATAGCATATTATATTTCTAGATTGTGTACCTAATCTATTCCACTGATCCACCCCTCTATGTCTCAGCCAGTCCCAGATACTTTTGATGATTGCTGCTTTGGAATACAGTTTGAGATCCGCTACGGCCAGACCTCCTTCCTTCACATTTTGTCCCCATTGATTCCCTTCATAGGCCTAGATGAATTTTGTTTTTTCTAGTTTTTGTAAATAATCAATAGCTAGTATTTACACAGTAGTTACTATGTTGCAGGCATATACATGCTTTACAATTATTCTCTCATTTGATCCTCACAACAACCCTGGGAGGGAGGTGCTATCATTATCTCCATTTTACAGAAGAAGAAATTGAAGCAAACAGGTTAAGTGACTTGCCCAGGGTCACACAGCTGGTGAATGTCTGAGGCCAGATTTGAACTAAGGTCTTCCCGACTGCTGGCCCAGCACTCCATCCGCAACATCACCTAGCTGCCTAATATTTGTTGGTTTGATTGGTAAAGTAAATTAATTTGTAATAAGTAAATAAGTAAATTAATTTGAGTAGTTTTGTTATTTGTATTATCTTGGCTCGGCCTCTCCGTGAGTAAGTAACATGTCTCCAATGATTTAGATCTGGCTTTATTTGTATGAAAAGTCTTTTATAATAGTTGCCATATAGTTCTTGTGTGTGGGTTGGCAGGTAGATTCGCGAGTATTTGATACTATCTGCAATTATTTCGAGAGAATTTCTCTTTCTTTCTCTTCCTGTCGGGTTTGGTCTGGCTTCAGCAGATGATGGCCCCACAGGGCCACCTCCTGATCTAATGCAAACTCCTCGTTTCGCAGAAGTGCAGGGAAGGGAACTTGGCCTCAGAAGTCACCTGGTCCAACTGCCTCATTTGGCAGAGGAAGAAACTGAGGTTCCAAGTGTGTAGTTGGAGAAGGGTTGGACTTGACTGGGAGTGATGGAGCAACCCTTGGTACTTCCTCAGGAGCGATCCCCATCATTTTGGTGCCTGTCCTGCTATTCACTGAGTACTGGACGGTGTCTGTGCTCACCTTGGCCTGGCTTCTGTATGACTGGAAAACTCCCAGTCAAGGTAAGTGGGGAGGGGAAGGGCATCCAAGAAATCCCAAGACTAAATGCACACTGCCAGCGTGGCTGAGTGGGAGACAACTCCAGGACTGCAAGGACGTGGGAGGCTCAGGAATGCCCCAGCTCCAACTAGAGATAGAGGGCTAGGAGGAATATTCTCCTTACCATGGCTTGTGAGGTAGGCAAAGCAAAAACTGATAGTTCAATTTGATAAAGGGGGAACTGAGGTTCAGAGAAGAGCTGAGAGGTGTGATTTGATTTCAAGTTCTAGGAGTCACCCTAGGGACTAGAGGGGGGATGTTGGTAAGGCAGTGAGGGGAGGGGGTATGCTGTGCCTCAGAAGTATCAGGATGGAAAAAGAAACTGAGGAGGCCAGTCTTCTACTGGGACATGGGAGGTCAGGAAGCTGTCTCCCCCTCCAGACAGAGAGAGCAGAAGGACTGAATGGGGCAGTTTGCCCTGCCCCCACTCCCTTCCCTCCCTTTCTTTATAGGTGGCAGGCGCTCAAACTGGGTGAGGAATTGGACCCTTTGGAAGCATTTCCGGGACTATTTTCCTGTTAAGGTGAGCAATCAACACACACACACACACACACACACACACACACACACACACACACACAGCTGCTTCCCTCAGATCCCTTCCTGCTCCTAGGACATGGTTTTTAACTTCAGCTTTCTAGCCTACAGTTTACAAAGGTTCAGCAGCCAGTACTTTGAGGTAGATCCCCAAAGAAGCTTGTAGATGGATGGATGGATGGATGAGTGGATGGATGGGTGGATGGGTGGATGGATGGATGGATGGATGGATGGATGGATGGATGGATGGGTGAGTGGATGGGTGAGTGGATGGATAGATGGATGGATGGATGGATGGATGGATAGATGGAGAGGCAGTAGCCTCTCTATACTGTAGAAACCTCAGGGAAGGCATGTTTAGGGGATGGGTACCATTTCTCTGAGTACATCCTCATATGATCATAGGATTTTGAGCTGGAAGGGACCTTAGAGCTCATATAGTTTAGCTCCCTCATTTTACAGAGGAGGAAACTGAGGACAAGAGAGGGAAAGTATCTAACTCATATTCAATGGAATTCATCAATCAGTAAACATTTATTAAGCACTTACTATATGCCAAGCACTGTGCTAAGTGCTAAGGATGCAGAGACAAAGTGAAACAGCCCCTGTCCTCAAGGACCTTTTATTCTAACGGGGGGTTGGGGTCCTGATGTTTCCAGACATAGGTCCATGTAGGATCCATAGATGGGAGTAGATGGAAGGACACCTGAGAGGAGAGGGCAGCATAAGCAGCTGCTCTCCAGGCCTTTCTGTAGGAGATCGGTTCTAATGGAAGCCAAGGATTTGGACAGGTAGAAGTGGGGAGGGCCCACATGGCAGGAATGGGGGGGGATACCAGTGCAAAAGCATGGAGAGGGGAGATGGAGGCAGAGTGAGTGTGGCCGTAGAGCCTGTAGAGGGTAGTGTAGAGGGCAGTGTAGATAGCATGAAAGGAGCTGCTGGCAGGGCCCAGGTTTGAAAGGGAGAATTTTCCATTGAGTCCTGGAGGTGACAGGGAGCCAGTACAGTTACGTGGGTAAGGACATGACATGGGCAGAGGTACACTTTAGGAAAATCACTTTGGCAATGGGTGTGGAATGGACTCGAGTGGGCAGACTTGAGGCAAAATGAGGGAGACCAATTAGAAGGCTAGAAAGGGTGGGAACGTGGCCTAGGGTGAATGGAGAGAAGCAGACACACATGAGAGATGTTGTAGAGGAAGAAATGCTAAGGTTTGTCAACCGGTTAGCTCTGTGAGGCAAGTGAGAGTGAGGAGTCTTAGATGACAGTGAGGCTGAGGACCAGGAATTCCCCCCATCCCCAGCCAGGCCCCATCCCGCTACCCTCTCCTTGGCTTCTTGCCCTTCTCTCTCTTTCCCAGCCCTCACACCCTCTCATCCTAACAGCTGGTGAAAACTTGTGAGCTCTCCCCGAGTCACAACTACATCATTGCTGCCCACCCCCATGGGATCCTCTCCTATGGGATGTTTTGCAACTTTGGCACAGAGTCCACTGGCTTTTCTAAGATTTTTCCTGGGATCACCCCCTCTCTCGCCACCTTGGAAGGGATCTTCTGGATCCCAATTGTCCGGGAGTATGTGATGGCAAAGGGTGAGTGAGTCTGGGGCTTCCCTAACCCTATCCCTGCCCATCAGACCAGCTAGCACAATCTGGCCCTGCCTCCAACTCTGGGTCCTATCCCAGCCTTCATCTTAGAGATCAAGGAGTTGGGGATAGGAGGGAGACTTTCCCATCAGAGAGAAAACAAGAGCTTTTTACTGGGAGGAGGGAGGGTAGCAAATGTCCCTACTCCCTCCTATACCAATAGCATCAATCAGCCCAGGGTAGATAAGGTCTAGATCCTCGGGGCTGGGCTAGCTGGGTGTACTGGCACCCTGAAGTGTTTTCCTGGAGGGCCTAGGACCTAGAAATGGGTCTCTGTGGTCTATGGTCCCTGCAGAAACCAACAGGTGAGAAGTCCAAATTGGGAGGTGGAAGTGGGGCAAGAAGGGAATACTATGTAGGAACTTTCTGTTGGCTGTCACTTACAATCTAACCCATAGTCAGGCTCAGTCCTGCCACCAGCAGTGATGGAATCTCTCCCTTGCTTACATCAAGGCCCTGGGCCAGACTGCCCTCTCAGTTCCCTGGTCTCTGGTTCTTTCTCTGTGCTAACACTGAGTTGTCCTTGAAGAAAAACTGGTCAAGGGCCTGAGTGATGGCACTTTTGGACAGGCAAACAATTGGTACATCTTGTTCAAGATTGGCCTACCCCAGTGCATCACCCAGCAGGGCTGGGCTAGTTCAGAAAGGCTTCTAGGCCAAAGGGAGCAGGACTGTCCCCCAGGACCTGGGCCAGGAGGGACTTAAATTGAGAGGGGTGGACTGGAATTGGGAACTCAAAGGTACTATGGGCTGGGGATCCATCAGTATTGCCTTCACCCTTGAGGGGCCTGTGCTGAACCCTTCTCCTGCCCCGTAACCCACCTCCTCAATGGGAACTAGCCTAGATTATGGAGGCAGAGAGAGCCAGTTGGGAAAAGAAGTAAGAAGGAGAAGAGGTGGAGGAGGGAGGAGAAGGAGAGGGAGGGGAGGAAGAGAAGGGGAAGGAGGAGAGGGAGGGGAGGAGGAGAGGGAGGGGAGGAAGAGAAGGGGAAGGAGGAGAAGGAGGGGAGGAGTCAGGGAGCATGCCCTCTCCAGGTACGAGGTCTCCCCTCTCAATTTAAGTCCCTCCTGGCCCAGGTCCTGGGGGACAGTCCTGCTCCCTTCGGCCTAGGAGCCTCTCTGAACTAGCCCAGCCCTGCTGGGTGATGCACTTGATTCCATAGGCATATGTCCAGTGAGTCACTCAGCCATGAAATATTTGCTGACAAAGATGGGCTCCGGCAATGCTGTGATCGTGGTGGTGGGAGGGGCTGCTGAAGCCTTCCTGAGTCACCCTGGAACTGCCAACATCATCCTGAAAAACCGCAAAGGCTTCGTGCGGCTGGCCTGCCAGACAGGGTGGGTTCCTAGAATCACCTTTAGCATAGATGGCTCGTTCAGACTTTGGAGAGACCCAGGGGTCCAGGACCCACAGGTTCCCAGGCAAACCTGTTCATTAGACCATAGATGGAGAGTTGGAAGGGGCTCTTAGGATCATGGCTTTGATGAGGAAGATGGCGTGCAATTAACCAAGGTCACACCACATGTAAGAAGTGGATGAGGGTAAGAGCGTTCTGCTGACCAGAAGCAGGGCTCCCGGATGACTGCCCGCCTCAGCAAGCGGGGCCAGCCACTCTCACGGGCTTCAAGTCTCTCCCACAGAAGGAGTGCCATCGAAGCTTATAGAAAAATAAGGGTCAGAGGACCAGCAGAGCAGAGTGGATGAGCTGACGCCGGAGGCCCAGAGAGGTCACAGCACTTGCCACACCTTTGCTCTTCGCCAAGAAAAGCATCGGCCACCCAGCACACACCAAGGCCCTTTCCCTCCGAACTTTTTCCTGAAATCGGGGTCCTTAGGCAAGATTTACTCCTCTGCCTCAGATGGTCTGGGGGTACCTTCCTCAGGTGCATGGAATGAGAGGAGAGCAGTGGCCTGGTAACCCTTGCGCACAGTAGGCATTTCATACATGTTTGCTGAATCTCACCAAATCGGCCTGTTGCCATGGGAAACCTGCCCCTCTATCTGTAACTCCTGAATCCCAGACACTTACCAAATGCTGCTTGGCACTCCAGGCTCTCCAGTCACACTGGCACACTGACTGATGGGGAGGCAGAAGGGCCATAACCTTGACACAATCACATATAATGTCATGGACGGGAGTATGCAGACATATCCATGAACCCCACTCTCTAGACACACAGATGATAGCAGACATATGCATTCATGGATATTATATGTCACGGCAGGAGAGCCAGCCTGTGAGTCAAGAAGCTGCAAGGTCATGCTCGTCTTGCCAATCCATACTGGCTGTGTTACCCTGAGTGCCCTAAGACCAAAAGATGCCAATCTGCATGTTTGCAATGTATGTATATCTGTGTAACATAGGAGGTCACACAGCTAGTAGGTGGTGAAACTGGGAGATGTACCCTGGGCTTCTGACTTCAGATCCAACACTCTGCTAAATGACAACAGCACACACACACACACACACACACACACACACACACACACATACACACACACACACACACACATACACACACACACGCTTACACGAATACACTCCTTTGTGTCAAAAGTTCGGTTTTTGTTATGTACTGATTGGGTACCATACCTATTAGGCACAGAATTCTGGGCTCCTTGCTTTGGGGAACAGAAAAGAACGAGAACAACTTGGCCCCACCCTCAGGTGTCACAACCTGATTGAGAGAGCCAAAGCCTGCCCCCTTGTGGAATGATAAGGCAATTGATAAATCACATATTTCAGAGGGGAAAAGAACCCACTGGAGATCTTAGGATAAGGATTCACCTTGTCATGCCCCAGACACAATAAAGGAGAGAAGCTGGGGGAGGGACAGGGCCTTGAAGGGAGTGAGAGAGAATGGGAAGAAGCACGCTTGGAATCAGAGGTCCTAGCTTCAAATCTCAGCTCTGCCACTTGTGTGCGTGACCTTGAGCCAGTCTCTTTCCCTCTTTGGGTCCCTTCGATCTCTCTATCCCTGAAGACAAATGGGGAGGTGAGAATTAGCGAAGGTGCAGCAGCAGCAGATGCCTGTCATCCTGGAAAGGGCGTGTGCTCCTAGGCATTAGCCCAGGGCCCAAGAGATGGGGGTGGGGGGGTGTCGGAAGAATATGGGCCAGAGGAAGGGGATGGGAGGAAGGGTTTGAGCGGCTGGGGAAAGACTTCATTGGAGGAGGAAGCACTGTGGCTTCATCCATTCCAAGCCTGCCCCCACCCACACTCACCCTCTTGGCAGGGCGTACCTGGTTCCTTCCTATTCCTTCGGAGAGAATGACGTTCACAAACAGGAGATCTTTGCTGATGGCACCTGGCTGAGGTCTGTCCAGGGCTTCTGCCAGAGGGTATCCAAGCACATCCTGGGCCTGAGTTTCTGCACGTTCCATGGCCGGGGCCTCACCAGGAACTCCTGGGGCTTTCTGCCTTTCAACCTTCCCATCACCACTGTTAGTAAGTGTTGTTCCAGCCCCCAAACCCCCTCTTAGGCTCCTCAGGGCTTGACTCCCTATTCTGTCCTCTGGCTGGAATGAAGGTTGGGAAGCAAAGGGCCCAAAGGGGAGGGGAGGATGGCCCTCGCTCCCTTCCCCCATCCTCCCCCTCCCTGGCCAGACCCTGCTGGGCAGCTTCAGCAGGAGACTGATGCCTGGTTTGCCTGGGTCTTTTTCCAACTCGCTGAACAGTTGGGGAGCCCTTTCCAGTTCCCAAGATGGAGAACCCAAGCCAGGAAATGGTGGACAAGTACCACGCCCTGTACATCGAGGCATTGCGGAAGCTGTTTGATGAGCACAAGCTCCAATATGGGGTCTCAGAGAGCCAGGAGCTGATGATCTTGTGACAGGGCCCCACAAGCAGCAGAAGGAGGGATCCCAGGAAGGCCTAGCTCAAGCCAAGGTCACAGGATCCGCCAAACCCCTTTCCACAGGCCTGGGACCCTCTAGGGAAAAGGAAGCACTAAGAAGATGTTCACCCCACACACACGCACCACATTTCACAAACAGTGGCCAGTTGGAAATGAGCAGACACCCTCATTCAGCCCCTTGGCGCAGGGGCCGAGCATGCCAGCTCCTGCTGGCTTTGGGCTTTGGGCTCTCTTCTACTTCTAGGACCCATCACCCACATCCTTTCCATGGGCTTGCCAGTCCATACCAGGGGCTTAGGGGCTTACTCTCCAGTCTCTTCTCACCAGGCAGGACCAGACATGCCTGAAAGGGCACCTGCAAGCTTCCCCACATTGGTACTCTGTGCTATTGCCCTCGTAGGCTCTGGTCATTTCTTGGGCATTCACTATGTGCAGGAGACACTGTGCTGAGCACTGAGGATCCACAGATGATGAGGGGCATCAGGCCCCACCCACGAGGAACTGACTGACTGAGGGGGGCTGGGAATGCCCACATGAGAATGGAAAATGATTCAAAGTGCCTAGGAGACATCCAAGCATAACCTAAGGCATTGGAGCAGGGGCTGAACTGAGGGCAGGGGGAGTGCTTCCTGAAGGGCATCGGAGCAGGGGCTGAACTGGGGGCAGGGGGAGGGCTTCCTGAAGGGCATCGGGGCAGGGGCTGAACTGGGGGCAGGGGGAGGGCTTCCTGAAGGAAAGGGCCTGCGCTGAGCCTTGAAGGAAACAGAAATCGCCAGCAGATGGAGCTGAGCAGGGGAGGCCACGCTCCCATTGCCTGGAGCTCCAGAGCAGCCCAGGCTGCTGGTAGGCTCCCTACTTCTCCCGGTAACTTGAGCTAGAAGGGAGCTCAGAGAAGGTTGAGTCCAGCCCATATTGCAGCAGGACCCCCCTCCTGTCAGACTGTCCGTAGCTAGCAACATCTGGGCAAGCCCCCAACTAGAGAGACATCCCAATCTGGCAGTTCTCCTGAGTCTTCCTCCTAGGCCAGTGCCTGCCTCCCCCAGGGAGGTGAAAACAGCAGTGGGGCAGGATGAAGTCTGGCCTCCAAAAAGTGTCTATGTCAGGATGGAAAACTCAGGGGAGAATTGAAGGGCAGCAGGGAGCCAGGAAATGGGTGTGCAGAAGCCAGGTGTCAGGCCTGGGAAGCAATGGGGAAAGGTCAGGAGCTAAGTAAACAAATGGGTCATTGTGGGGGCCAAGAGAAGCCCCACCCATAAAGGACCCAGTGAAATATCCCAGGGAGCTCTGAGATCGAAGGGCCAACCAGGCCAATCTACTCATTTGACAGATGAGGACACTGAGGCCCATGGAGACGAAATGACCTGTTCAAGGTCACACAGATCCTAAATGGCAGAGGTGGGGTCCTCTGACTCCAGAGCCAGTGCTTCCCCCACCATACCCATCTCTCTGTCTCCATCCATACTGGCGTCTCTTCCATAACACTCCCAGAAATGGGAGGCATTCCTTCGAAAGGTTCCACTCACAGACAACTCACTACCTCCCGAAACGGCGCATTGCACTTTTGGACAGCTTTAGCTGAGTTGTTGGGAGGTTTGTCCTGCCACCCAGCCTCAGCTTTGTCCCCTGCACCCCCATTGCTGTTCCTGGCTCTACCTTTTGGGAATCCCTTTCCATGTGGCAGCCCTCCAAAGACTCCAACACAGCTTTCATGTCCCCTGTGAGTCTTTTCTTATCCAGGCTAAACATACCCACTTCCTTCAACCAACCCACAGAAGACATCGTTTCCAAACCCACCCCCACCCCCACTGTCTTGGGCACTCTTCTTCAGCTACTTCAACGTCCTTCCTAAAAAGCGGTGCCCCAAGCTGCTCCCAGTCTGGCCAGGGCAGAGGATGGTGGGACAACCACATCCCTAGGCTTGGACACTAGGCTCCCCTCTCTCGATATAGCCTGAGATGCCACTGATCTATTTAGCCTCCACATCACCCAGGTGACCCACACAGCTCTTCCAATCTCCCAGAGCACACGAACTCTACCCCCCCGCAATCATTGTCACATAGTTGTCCAGCCATCTGCTGCCCCTCTCCCGCACTGGTGCAGGCAACTCACTGTGTCTAAGCATCAGATTGAACATTGATCTGTATTGAGCACCATCGGATTCTGTCCAGCCCCATCGCTCTAAGCTAGCTGGATCTTTGGGCATCCTGATACCATCATCCAAAGTGTTAGCTGTCCCTCCCAGGTTTGCGCCATCTTTGCCTTTATACAAGTCATTGATAAAAATGTTGAACATCTCAGGGCCAAGCACAGATTCCTGGGACATCCTTCGGAACACCTTCCTTCCAAGTTGATATCGATGCAGTGATGACCACTTTGGGGTCCTGTAGTTCAACCAGCTTTGAACCCACCTATCTGTATCATCATCCAGCCCACATCCTTCTATCTTGTCCAAAAGTATATCATTAAAGGCTTTGTCAGAGTCTGGGTGTATCACGCCATCCCTTGATCTATGATACTGGTTACCCCTCAAGCTGCCAGGAGAAGCACAAGAGGCTGAGAGGAAAGCCTCTCTAGGCATCAGGTGACCTGGATTCCAATTCCTGGTTTGACCATTTGCTAGCCAGAGGAACTAGGTGCCATTTCCTCCTCTGTAAACCCAGAGGGATGGTCTAGAGCAGGGCTTAAACTTTTTCCCCTCCAGACCCCTTTTGGAATTTTGGCAGCCCACATTCATGGCTAGGGTTAGTTGGTGTTACGTGGTACGTGGCCTGAGGGCATGAGCAGGGCAAAGTGCACAGTTGGGGTTCAGAACCCAGGCTGCAGGGAAATTGCCGATGCAACATGGGCAGGCGCTACCAGAAACTCCTTGGATTCATTATTCATTGGCTTTTTTTTTTTTGTGAGGCAATCAGGGTTAAGTGACTTGCCCAGGGTCACACAGCTAGTAAGTGTCAAGTGTCTGAGGCCAAATTTGAACTCAGGTCCTCCTGACTCCAAGGTCGGAGCTTTATCCACTGCGCCACCTAGCTGCCCCTATTCATTTGCTTTTTAACTAATTTATGGTCCTGGTGCTTCAAAAACCTTTTGCTGTTGCCAAATTTGGGTTGAGACCCACAGTTTAAGAAGCACTGGTAGAGGGACTAAATTCCTTCCAGTTCTCACAGTCTATGATCCAAGTCAGTTCAATTCAACACACAGTTATTATGCACCTACTGGATGCAGAGTAATAAGCCTGTGCTGGGTAATATGGGAGAGAGGTAACAGAGTTTGCATGAAAGAGAGGCCTTCAGAGATTCCTGCCCATTTGGAATGGGGTGCTAGGAGAAGGACTGGGTCTGGGATTTCATCAGCGTAGGGTGAAATAGGCACTCCCTGTGCCAGTGCAGGTCAGCAGCCTCTCGGCAACTTGTAGAGTCTTCAAGACTTGTCCAGAGCACTGAGGGGTGAGGTCCAGGGTCATCCAGCCAGGATGTGGCCAAGGTGAGATTTGAACTTGGGGCTTCCTGCTTTAAGGCCAGCACTCTATCTATTAGGCCGCACTGCCTCAGAGAAGCAGGAGATCCTATGGGAAACCTGATGGGAAAAGCCACTGACACCATCAAGGAAGCAGGGGAGGCTTCTTGTAGGAGGTGCCTTTTAGAGTTTAAATTAAATAGACTTCAAAGTGTGCCTAGGGATTCGACAGAAAGAAGATGGAGATTCCAGGTCCAGAGCGCAATTAGGGTAAACATAGGAAAAAGAGAGGCTTTGGGTCTGTCTGGAGAGCTCGCCTGCCATGTGCTTGTGGAGGGTCTGGAATACCCAGCAGAAGAGTTGCCACTTTACTCAGCCCCCAAGAAAGACTCACTGAAGGGCAGCTCAGAGTTCATCCCCTGCCCGACAGTAGTAGGCGCCTACTCATTGTATCCCATGGCCCGTTACTGAAGCTTTGGGATCCCAAAAGACATAGTCCATCTTGAAGTCTGCTCAATAATAACTCTGACTTATTTTCCTCCCAACCAGAAGCCTCCTAGTGGCCAGAAAACTGGCTTATTAACATGCATGTAAGGAACAAGAAAGAGACTAGTATTGGAATCCAGTTAGCAGGGGGTTAGCTCTAGCTCGCCTGCAGACAGGTGTGGTTCCTTCCTCCAAGGGTTAGTCACACTCTCCACAAAATAAACCCCGACACCCAATAGGTGGGTGACTTCAAATGAATTGCAGTCCTTGGTGGAGATCAGGACTGTCATCTTTAAAGCTGCAGCCACCTGCCTGGTCTGTAGCCAATCTCGCTCAGCTCTTAGCTCGGCAGTCCCAAAGTGCTCCCCAAAGTACCAGCCACTCATCAGGGCTTCCACAACTCCCAACCTTGAGAACCTCAGGGCTTGCCCAAAAGCTGCTGCCTTGGTCACCTCTTGCCATCCTAACTCCCAAACCCCTTCCTCCTCACGGCTTTCTTTCCCAGAAGCCCTTGTTTCCTTCTCCTCTGAATCTCACGTGTGTGTCCTCTCCACATATATATCTGCTCTCTGTATGTGTTATCTGGCCACACATATTCCCTCTGTGTGTTTCTTTTTCCACTTGTGCTATGGTCATCAGTGGGAAAGCATACATCTATGTATTTGGGGACAGGCGAGGGTAATTTGTCATTTCTTTGCCATGCTATTTAATTAAATGCCTTGTTTTGGGCTAGCGTTTTCTTGGAGCTTGTGAGCTGCGATTCTGAATGGATGCTGTCTTAGTGGCCCAAAGCATGCTTGGAAGCGGGGATGGCTTTCTTTATCATTGTTTTAAATTCTGAAATGAGCAAACACTACCTGAAATGTCATTCCCATAGACATGGTAGAGCAGAAAAAGAAGATTGTCCACAGAGCTGCAGGTCTCTAGTATGGACAGCTGTCTTTTTTTTAAAAAAAATCATTTGATACTGAACTTAAACCCCAAAAAAGAGCATTCCCACACACGCGGGAGAACAAAAAAAGAAAGTTCTAGATGAAACCATAGCCCTCTGTTTCATAAGGCTGGCTTGTTCTGCACATGACTTTCAACACCATCCTACCAGTCTGTGCTCCCTTCCAAACACCCTTCTGTTCTCTTCTGTGAATTTGTAAAAGGATTATAATGGCTCTCTTTTTTGGGGGGGGGGATGTCACTAACCCTTCCCTGACCCTCTCCCCAATTGAAAAAAAAAAACAAGAGAAAAAGGAAAAACAATCCTTGTGAAGGGTAGCTCTTGGAAGTGCAAAGTCATTGTATCCAGTGCTATACTGGAATTGACTCCAGTTCCTCAGAACCGATGGTTAAACTGTCAGGAATTTGGCAAACCAGTTGTCAGACAGACAGTTCAGTCAGCACCTGCACTGGTAATGTTATTTGTTGCTTCAAAAGAACTGGTGCCGGGGAAGCTAGGTGGCACAGTGGATAGAGCACCAGCCCTGAAGTCAGGAGGATCTGAGTTCAAATCTGGCCTCAGACCAAACACTTGACACTTACTAGCTGTGTGACCCTGGGCAAATCACTTAACCCCAATTGCCTTAAAAAAAAAAAAGAATTGTTGCCAACCAAAGTAGAGTATATTTTCTTATTATTTTTTTAAATTCAATTTTATTTTATTTTCAATTCTAGATTCCCTCCTTCCCCTCCACTCCTCCCCCATCCATTGAGAAGA